CTTAGATCACACATGCCATTTTTATGAGTTCCATGTCTTTTTTAACACTTTGAGTTTTCCTATATTTATACTTTGCACATTCCATGTTCCAATTGTTAATGGATGTTTGTAACTGTTTTTCTTCATTTTTGGAGTGTCTTCCATCCTGAGGGACTCATCTACCAGAACTATATTCAACAGTATTCCTGGTAATCATAAATTTATTTCCAAAGGCTTGTTAGGAGTAAATAAGAGATTTTAAAAGTAAGTGGGATGACTTCTGGGTAAGATGGCAGACTAGACTAATTTCTGTTAAGATGTCAGTTCAGACTTCTGCACCTAAAGTACCAGAAAACAAATACAACAGATATGGATGAAAATTCTGAAGCCCATAGTTTAAAGAAAAGACAAGGAAATACTTGAACCGCTGACTGAGGGAAGAAAGTGTAAGGAGATTAATGATGCACAGAACAATAACAAGCAAACTGGGGCCATTCTGAATAGTTATCTAAGTAGTGTGGGAATCCAGGATGGCAGCAGTCCCCATATACACAACAGTGGCTAGCTGGTATGAAGAAAAGGTACAGTCTCTCCTCCCCTTGACCCTCAACCTCAGAACAGAAACTTATCCACCCTGACTCACGAAGGGGTTGGCAACCTTCTTTTGGCCATGTTGATATAATATTGTATCTGCAGCAGGAAACACTCAAAGCTTTCCTCCAGGAACCTGGAGACTGTACCACAGTCAGACCTGCGGTTGGTTGAGGGCACCGTTAAGTAGTATCCTTCCCTCTCATTGGTGATGCTTACACAGCATACTCCATAGCCACATGTGGAACAAGGTACCCTTTTCAAAGTGTGCCATCATTGGACCTTTCAGGTAAGAAGTGACTATCTGTTCATGTTAGACATCTCTGACTGGGTATTCTGCCTGCACTCATCCCTTAAGTAGCCAAAGATACCATTTTTGGCCAGGCAGGTAAGCCTTGGTCATAAAACCATGTCTATAGATAATAATACAAAAGGTGAATGGATTAAATGCACCAGTCAAGAGAAAAAGAGTAGCAGAATGGTTAAGAGAAGAATACCCATCAATGTCCTATCTATAAGAGACACAATTTTGATCCATGGACTAAAAGTAAAAATGTGGAATACATAAAAAAATGTATCAAGCAATCAGCAATCATAAAAGAGCAGGAGAGGCAGGCAATATCAACTTCTGAAAACATGGACTTCATGGCATAAAGTAGCATAAGAGATAAAATAAATATTATATAATAATCAAAGGGTCAATTGAACAAGAAGATACAATCTTAATAAATACACACCCAATGTCAGCCTTAAGATACATAAATCAAACTGTAAGAGACTTGAAGAGAGAAATTTATAATTCCACAATAACAGTAGGGATCCTCAATATACACTACTTTTGATGAAAGGCAATACGACTGGAAAAAAAAACTCAACAAAAAAGCAAAAGTAAACAATACTTTAACTAACTGGATCTTGTGGACATATACAGAACACACCACCCAACAAAAACACAGTATACATTTCTTCCACAATGAATATTTGTCATAATAAACCATAAGTTATGTCACAAAGCAAGCCTCAATAATTTTTTTAAAAAATAATTTTAATGAGCATTTACAGAGATTTTGGATTTCCATTCATTCATTGCTGCATTTCTCTACCCATCCAGCCCCCTCCCACCCCCCCAGTCCACTCCTCTCTTTCAAAAGTAAAAGAAACACTCCTTCCCTGGTACACAATCCCCCCGCACCCCTCCCACCGCCCCAAGTACATTCCACTATGCAACCTTAATTGTGGACTCTTGTGATAACCATAATACCCTAAAAAAAAAGAAACAAACAACAAAGCTCCAAAAACCCATTGAAATACTATGAAGTATTTTCTCAGGTCACAGTGGAATAAAATTAGAAATCAACAAAAGAGAAATCAAGGAGGGAAAATCAAGAACCTGGAAACTATATAACCTTATTAGATGATGAAAGAAATAATAAATAATTTTTTAAAAAAAGAATGAAAACACAACATCCCATGAAGAAATGTTCAAGATCAGTAGCTTATTAGAGAGACACAAATCAAAACAAGAAGATATTATTTAAATCCCAGCAAAACCAGCAGTATTCAACAAGGCTGCAAGCAGATTGCAACTATCATACATACACTGTTGGTAGGAAGGTCAAATGGTGCAACCAGTATGGAAAGTTAGTTTGGTACTTTCTTAGAAAGTTGGAACAGAAATACCATTTGAACCAACAATCCTACTACTATGTATGCAACCCAAAGAAATAAAGTCTGTGACACAAACTAACATACACACACTCATCTTTACTGCAGCATTATTTACATTACAAAAAAAAGGTGGGGACAAACCCAAGCGCCCATCAATGGACGAATGTCTAAAGGAACTCTGGTACGTCACACAATACACTAATATGGATCATTAAAAAACATGAATTTGTGAAATATTGCACAACATGGATGAATCTAGAACAAATGATATTGAGTGACATGAGTCAGTCATAAAAGGACAAGTACAGTCTAAGAAAGCTTTTTTAAGGAGCTAAGGAAAAATTTACTTACACACAGAAGCAATCTTGTAAGTTTGATAGGAATAGGAAAGGAAGGCAATGAAATAAAAATTAATAAATAGAAAAGTTAGGGGAAAGGAAAGGCAAACAAAATAAGGGATAGACTGCTGTTGCTGTGTACCACTGAGTCAGAACTGACCTATAGCTGATCCTCTGGGGAGTTTTCAAAGGCAGCTGAATCACAAGGGAGGAGATTGCCCATCCTTCCCTGTGGATCAGCTGGTCGATCCAAACCATATGCCTTTGGAATAGGAGTGCAGCTCCTTACTTATTATACACATTAACGGCCAGATATGCAGGCTGGATTTAGAAGAGGTCATGGTATTAGGGATATTATAGCTAATGTTAGATGGATCTTAGCAGAAAGCAAAGAATACCAGAAGAATGTCTATCTGTGCTTCATTGACTATGCAAAGGCTTTTTAACTGTGTGGATCACAGTAAGTTGTGGCTGACTCTGAGAAGAATGGGAATCCCAGAACACTTGATTGTGCTAATGCGAAACATATACTCGGACCAAGAGGTAATTGTCAGAACAGAGCAAGGAGACACTAGATGGTTCAAAATCAAAAGGGGGTTCATCAGGGATGTATTCTGTCTCCATACCTGTATGCAGAACAGATCATCTGAGATGCTGGGCTATACGAAGAGGAATGTGGCATCAGGATTGGTGGAAGAATCATCAACAACCTGCATTATGCAGATGATACAACTCTGCTTGCTGAAAATGAGGAGGACCTGAAGCGCTTGCTGCGGAGGATCAAGGACTACAGCCTCCTATATGCACTGAAGCTCAACATCAAGAAAACAAATATTCTAACCACTGGGCCAATTGGCAGCATCAGTATGGATGGTGAAGAGATTGAGATAGTTAACAGTTTTAGTTTACTTGGCTCCACAGTCAACACTCTCAAGAGACGAATTGCATTCGGAAAGTCGGCTGCGAGGGACCTCTCAAGAGTACTGAAGTGAGGGACCTCGCAAGAGTACTAAAGTGCAACAACGTCAGGCTGGAGACTAAGGTGCGCCTGATCTGGGCTATAGTCTTCGCAATTATGTGCTATGCATCAGAGAGTTGGACAGTGACTAGGGTAGATAGAGAATTGATACCTTTGAGCTGTGGTGCTGGAGAAGAGTGTTGATATACCATGGACTGCTAGGAGAACAAACAGGTTTGTCCTGGAGAGGGTGAAGCCAGAATGTTCCCTGGAATCAAGGATTCTGAAGCTTCGTCTGACATATTTTGGGCATGTTGCAAGGAGGGGTGGTCCTTGCAGAGGGACATCATGTTTGGCAGAGTGGAGAGGTGGCGAAGGAGAGGAAAACCTTTGATGAGATGGATCGATTCTGTGACTAGAGAGGTGGGAATAAGTGCGTTTGAGATGGCTAGGTTGGCACAGGATAGAAGGGCATATAGAGCTCTTGTACATAGGGTCGCTATGAGTCGCAAGCGACTTGATGGCACATAACAACAACAACAATGAATAGTAACTAATGTTATAAACCAAAAATTGTATGAATGATCTTATGACAAATATATGTGACTTGTAAACTTTCACTTGAAATGGGAAAAATAGGGAAAGAAGACCTATATTTAAAAAAAATTATTTTTAAAAAATCTGATTTGGGGGTCAGTAAAAGAAAAAAACTTAATTTTTATATTGCACTGTACATTTTGTCCACAAATATGGCACTTTGTTCTGTTATACACCAGGCCATCATGAGTTGGAGGCAACTTAATAAAATAGCAAACCCACAACTAATAGGAACACAAAGTTTTCCTTTATAGCAATAGACAAAACATATTCATAATCAAGTTCTCCACAAATTCTAACAGAACACCTTAGCTCCCCCTCCTTCTAAAATTTGGAGCATAGCAAGAATAGTTTAGATTTACAAAAGGGAAACAATTATGAAATAACTGCTGGTGGGGGGCGGATATGATACACACACCTGATCCTGCCTTCTATACTTACAATCTGGTTTCAATTATTTTCGTTTGTCATCAGTCCTATCTCCAAACATCCTGAGGCCCCACTGGGATTAGCTGACTCAGTCTTTCCCTAGTTTTGAGAGCTTCCCCTGAAACAGCTGTCACTAAATAAACAGCTCATTGGTGACATTCCCAGAAGGTACTTGGGAAGATGGAGAAAGACCAGTGTACTCTCATTCTTTGACCTATTTTCATTTGCTGAAACTCTTCAGAACAATAAGACCGTAATACTGACCTGGCAATACCTTCATGGTCTGTGCTCTTTAAAGAATAAGTCTTTTGTTTTTTTTTGAATTCTGCTTTGGCCAACAGGCTATCTTTCCATATCACTGCTGTCCATTAAAAAAGGCAAGTTCAGGCAAAACCAGAGAGAGAGAGAGAGAGAGAGTCAAGTAAAAAATAGTTCCTTACCTTCTGTGCACAAGCAGCTCTCCATTCCTGTTTAGCTTTCATCTCAGCCAGTAGGCCACTGCCCATCACTTGGACTCCATACCTTCGCCCACCCTGGGGGCTGCTCTTGCTGTCACTTCGTTCTATCTTCCCCATTTCTTCCACTTGACACTCTTCAAGGGAGTCAGGCGTTTTGATCTCCTCTATCCTCTCAGAATTGCCATTGTGCTCAGCTGGCTTCACTTCCTTCCTGGGCGTGTCTGCAGCTGGACCTTTGCCTGCACCTTTAGGTGATGACGGCTCTTCACTCATCAGGACAGTTGGTGGCCGTTCGGATTTGGATCGAGACTTTATTAAATTGAGAAAGCCACTTTTACGAGAATCACGCTTTTTCTTTTCATCTCCTTCACCAAGCTCATGGGACTCGAATCCTCTTGTGGAGGATCTCCTGCAAATTAAACCAAGACACAAGTGGTAGGCTTTACCACAGTAAGCACAAAAATCACTCAAACTATAAGAACCAAAACCCCTGCTTCTACAGTTAACTATGCTGAAACATTTCAAAAAGTTGGTCAAGTCACTGCACCTAAGAGATAAAGAGGAACATAAATTATTGTTATTATCATCATAGCCACAGATGAGAAATTAGAAGCACACACACACTGAATGAGAATCTGAAGATTTGAATGGCAGATCTGTTTGTTTTTTAATGTTGTAGTCATGTTGTCTCTCTCTACTTGTATTAATTAAAGAATGATTCACTCAAGATAAAGGTAAGTCAAACATTTGTAGGTTTGACACAGGATATTTCTACAGGTTTATTTATAGGTGCTACAAAAATACCCATGAATATATACCCCTGTAGAGGGGGCATAGTTATGAAAGCATCTTAGCCATAACTATACCTTCTGAGGGATTGAATTGCAATGCTTGGGTGCTCAGACCACAGTCTCAGAGAACATCAAGGTCAACTAGCATAACATAGTTTACAAAGGCAATATTCTATATCCCATCTTGGTGAGCTGAGGCCAGGGTTTTTAAACCTGCAAGTGGTGATTTGAGGGTCAAACTATTATCTCTCCCCCTTCAGAGCAAGAAGAGTGAAGAAAATTGAAATTACATTGAAAATATTATTCCAAAGGATTAATGAACTAGGCAAATCCCTCCACCCACAACCCTAAGACCTAGAACTAGATGGTACCTGGCTACCACTGCTAATCTTTCTGAAAAGGGCCACAATAAGAGGTTTTGGATAGAATGGGAGAAAAATGAGGACTAAACCTCATAATAATGAAAATTTAAAAATGACCAGGCTTACTAGTCTGGTAGAGACTGTTAAAACCATTAGATTGTGGCCTTTGTTGTTGTTATGTGCAATCGAGTCAGAATCAACTCATAGCTGACCCTTCAGAGGGTTTTCGGAGGCAGTAAATTGCACAGGAATTGATTGCCCATCTTCTTCCCACAGAGCAGCTGGTGGATTCTAAACATGTGCTTTGGGTTGGTAGTGCAGCTCTTTACCACTAGGCCTTTTGTTGTTACTGTGTACCATTGAGTCAACTGATCTTTCAGTGGGTTTTCAAAGGCAGTTCATTGTACAGGAGAAGACTGCCCATCTTTCTCCTATGAAGCAACTGGTGAATTTGAACTGTGTGCCTTTGGGATTGCAGCACAGCTTCTTATTCTTTAATACTTTACATGGGCCCAAGCTCAATTTTCAGCCCAACAATAGGTAGGTGAATAATAATACCAGGTAAGTACCCATTATCTAGAACAATCAATTATTTCAGGTTAAAGCTCAGAAAGGCAAGAAGAAATAGGAAAGAAAGATGAGTTGCAATGATAATCAAATGGAGGAAGTAGGAGGAGTATTGTTACATTGTGGATATTGTAGTTATTTATGAATCAAAATGTGTATAAATTATTGAATGGAAAGCAAATGTGTGCTGTAGATTTTCAACCAAATCACAATAATAAGATGTTTTATTTTAAAGGACGTAGGTGGGTGATTTGAATTCTTTAATCTAAGTGGTACTAGAAAGGCCATATGTCTTCATAATACCCTAGCAATACTTCTGTAGACATTAAATAGTGTCTGGAAGCCTAGCCTACCACTAAAGCACAGTCAGAATCCAAGATAGCTATCCTTGGATCCTTAATAATTATTTTCTTGAAATTCTAGGGTAAAAGAGATTAAAATTTAAAATTTTATAATGGGTCACAGTAGTGATCAAATAAAACATATGAGTAATTCAGAAATTCAAATTTTATTCTTTCAGTAGCTAAGAGAATACGCCATCCCCTTTTCCTTATGACTCAGGGTGAAGTCTCTCTCAGGGAGGAGTGATAGGGAATGGCAAAGGACACACCGACAAAGGAGATTAATCAGAACTGACTTTGACAAGCACTGTGGCAATTGGACAATTAAAACAGACATTCGGATGGCGGGGAAGAAGAACAAACTGGGGAGGAGGGTAGAGAGAATGGTGCAGCAATGAAGGAATGAAAACCCAAAATCCCTGTAAATGTTCATTAAAACTAATAAAATTTAATAATAATAATAAAAAAAATTAAAATAAATTTTAAAAAAAGAAAAAAAATTATTCTCTCTTTCTCTGGAAGCAAGCATAAGAGGTACTCAACCAAAACAAAGGAATGAACTATGCGAGATAACACCAAGGAAATAGAAAACTGCTCAGGAATGAAGCGTAGGAATCTTGCAGCACATTGAAAAAACTCATTGCTGCCAAGTTGGAACAAACTTTATAGTTGACTCTCCAGTAGGTTTCTGAGGCAATAAATTGCATAAGAGGAGATGGCTTATTTTTTTTCTCAAGGAGAAATTATTTAGGAAGCCATTAAAAGAAAATGGAGAACATATATAGAGTCACTGTACCAAAAAGAATTGGTCAACACTGAAGTATTTCAAGAAGTAGTATATGACAGAGTCAATGGTGATGAAGGAAGAAGTTCAAGCTGCACTAAAGGCAATGGCAAAAAATAAGGTCCCAGGAAATAATGGAATATTGACTGATATGTTTCAGCTAATAGATGCAGTCCTGGATGTACTTACTAGATGTGCTCACCAAAAAATTTGGAAGCCAGCTACCTGGCCAATTGACTGAAAGAGATGCACATTTGTTTCCATTTCTAAGAAAGAGTATTCAGCAGAATGTGAAAATTATTGGACAATAACATTAACATCACAATCAAGCAAAATCTTGTTGATGATTATCCAAAAACAGCTAGAAAAAAATATTTTGATAGAGAATTTCCAGAAGCTCAGCTGGGTTAAAAGAGGCTGTGGCACCAGGAATATCACTGCTGATGCCAGATGGATTCTGGCTGAAAGCATAGAATACTAGAAAAATTTCTATTCATGTTTCATTGACTATGCAAAAGCATTTGACTCTGTGGATCATAACTATAGCTAACACGGAGGAGAATGGGAATTGAGAATACTTATAATTAGGCTTATCCAAAACCTGTATCTAGATAAAGAAGCTGCCATCCAAAGAGAGCAAGGGAACATTGCATGGTTTAAAAATTAAGAAAGGTATGTGTTAGGGCTGTATGCTTTTTTCATACTTGCTCAATTTGTATGCTGAACAAGTTATTTAAGAAGATGAACTTTATGAAGAAGGATGTGTTATCATGGAGGAAGACGCATCAACAACCTACATTATGCAGATGAGAAAACCTTACTTGCTGTAAATGAGGAGGTCTTAAAATACTTGCTGCAGAAGATCAAAGAATACAGCCTTCAGAAGATTAAAGAATACAGCCTTCAATATAGATTACATCTCAACATCAGGGAAACAAACATCATCACCACTGGACCAATAGGCAACATTATACATAGTGGAGAAAGAATTGAACTTGTCAGTTATTTTACCTTACTTGGATTCATAGTCAATACCATTAGCAAGAAATCTAAAGACAGACTGTAATGGGAAAGTTTGTTGTAAGGGAGCACTCCAAAGTACTGAAGAGCAATGACATCACCTTAAAGACTATGGTGTGCCTGATTCAAGTCATGGTCTTTTCCATTACTTGCTATACATGTGAAAGTTGAACAGTGAGTAGGTATGATAGAATTGATGCCTTCAAATTTTGATGTTTGAGAAGAGTGCTTACAGTCCTACTGACTGGTAAAAGGACAAATAGATATGTCTTGGAGAAAGTGCAGCCAGAGTGCTCCCTGGAGGCAAGAATGGTGAAGTTTCAACTCACATATTTTTGGCATGTTGTTAGGAGATGGTACTCTTTGGAAAAGGACACCATACTTGAGATGGTGGAGGGTCAGTGAAAGAGAAGAAGACCCTCAGGGAGATGGACTGGCACAGCGGCTTCAGCTGTGGGATCAAACGTATCAGAGATGGTAAAGATGGCACAGGATAGGGAAGGATTCAGATCTATTGTTCTTTGGGTCACTGTGAGTCATACTGATGGTACTTGACAACAACTCCCAAGGAGCAACTGGTGGATTCGAACCACCAAAGGGATTCAGAACAACTCCTTATGGATGAGGTCAACAAAGATCCTCTCCCCCAACATGCAGAAAAAGGAAATTTTAAGGCAGCAGACATGGAGGTACAAAGTAAATAGACTGGATTAGGTAAGATGGTTATGAAAGTGCTGGATCTAAAATGAAACTGAGAATCCATGAAAATATTGAGATGAGAGCTCTACCTTATCTGGAGATTTATCTGGATGTAGAAGTGCTAATAATAAAGTAAACTCAAAATGTGACAATAAACCTAGGGAGAATAACATTGTATAAGTAAGGGGCTATCACAGCATACTCTTTAACGCAGATGTGATAATATTTACATGATTACAAATATTCCATGGACTGCCAGAAGAAAAAACAGGTTCATCCTAGAAAGGGTAAAACAAGGCTGCTCTGTGGAGGCAAGGATTCTGAAGCTTCATCTGACATACTTTGGGCATGTTGCAAGGAGGCATCAGTCCTTGAAAAGGGACACTATGCTAGGAATGGTGGATGGACAGAGAAAGAGAGGAAGACCCTCAGTGAGATGGATTGATTTAGTGGCTGGGATATGAGGGTAGGTGTGTCAGAGACAATAAGATTGGCACGGGATAGAGGCAGGTTGTAGGGCTGTAGTAAATACGGTTGCTATGAGTCACAAGAGACTTGACAGCACATAAAAACAACAAACAAGTAAAATGAAGATTAAACATTGATCCAGCTAACAATTATGATACTACAAACTAAAGAAAATGGGCAGAATTGTGACTGTGACTGCATGCATACGTGTGGTTTGAAGAGATGACAATGGACATGAGAACGAAACCATCCACTACAGCAAGAAATCAATAGTTACAGTTATTATTGAAAATTGAAAGTCAGGAAATAGAAATAAAATGTTATTCAGAGATATGGAAGCAAATAGCTAAAGGAACTGAAACTAGCTGTCTTGAGAATTTATGTTGTTGTTAGGTGCCATTGAGTCAATTTCAACATACAGTAATCCTATGAACATATAGAATCCTATGAATGGATGTGAACCTCACACTATGCTGTGTATCCTCATCATCTGTTATATTTAAGTCTATTAGTACAGTCACTCTGTCAATCCATCCTGTGAGGGTTTCCATCTCCTTTGATGACCCTCCAAGCATGTTGTCTTTTTCCAAGGATCAACCTCTCCTAACAACATGCCCAAAGTATGTGAAACAAAGTTTTACCATCTTTGCCTCCAAGTAGCACCGTGGCTGCACTTTCTCCAAGATATATTTGTTCTTTTGGCGGCCCATGAAATATTCAGTACTGTTCTCTAACACTACAACTCAAAGGTACTAGTTCTTATTCTGTCATCCTTATTTACTGTTCAACTTTTAGATGCATAGTAAATAATTAGGAAGACCATGGCTTGAATCAAGTGCACATTAGTCTTTAAGCTGACAACATTGCTCCTTTACACTTGGAGAGGTTTTTAAAAGCATATTGAGAATATGGAGCAGGAAAAGCAACAGGAAACATTTTTTTTTATTTTTAGGATGGGGAAGTGGAGGCCTCCTTTATGTATGACACTTGAAACTATGAGTATGTATAACTTTGATTAGTTAAACTTTCTTATACTACTTTAAATTTTACCTATGGCTAGCCATATGCATATCAAATTGGCAATCATCTTTTTTTTAATATAACCACCTCCCTAAAAAATAAATAAAATAACTTGTAGTAGATTCCATCTTAATTTAATAAAACCTGACATATACATAATTCCATATATTTAAGCACTGAAACATGAGCAGATCTTAGTAGAAAACGAATTTTATATCTTATAAAATTAACTCAACCTTTATTCAGACTCTAGTAAAGAAGAAAACAGCATACAGGGTAAATGAAACCACACTGGGGCAGATAAAACTGCACATTGGTCCAGATAAATGCACATAAACCTATCCACTAACTATCCATTTCTAAAGTTTAAGAAGATATGAGTATAAAATGGAGCCTGTAGTTTAGATGGATTCAAGGCAAGGCTGTCTCCATTCAGTCAAACAACCGTGGTTGAGGGATACCATATACTAGGGAATGCATTATATATTGAAGTTATGAAGAAGAATAAGAGTCCTGTGTTGCTCCTGAAGAACAGCATGTTGTCTGAGAAAAGCAACTAGAAGGCAAACGGTCATGAGAGACTGACCATTTGACTCTATTTATTTTGGTATCCCTTGAATGTTTTATACTGAGAATAAATTCATCAAGTCTTTGTGCTGTGTTGTTTGTTTTTGTTTTTTTGTTTTTTAAAAACCCAACCCAACCCAATACAAACAAAAGCGTAAACAGTATCTCAAAGAGCTGTGTAAAGATTTGAGCAGAGGCAGAATGAAAAAAATAGGAAGTCAGTAGTAGAGAAAAAGCAATTAATTTAGGGGGACAAATAGTCACAGAAAGGCTTCAAAGAACAAATGACATTTAAGTAGTCTCTTGAAGGATAGAAGGACAGACCTCTGCCAAGCAGAGTATGCCAAACTTCAAATCCATTGTCACTGAAGAGAAATCACTGGGGGCTAAAGCTTGTAGGATTCAGTAAGTTATTCTGTTATGGATATAAAAATGTAACTTATTTTCAGCTCACCATCCTGCTGAGGCAAGATAAGGCACATCAATCCATAGAATGGACAAGTTCCTTCCCCATGTGTGCCTGGCCTGCCCACCCTTGGCTTATCGTTATGGCTGAAATTCATTCCTGCATTTGATATTTCAAGGTGAAGAATAATCCACAGACACAAACCCACAATAAGAGGGTATTTTAAGATGACTGTGCATTTAGTTGGGGATTAAATAACCTTAATAGCCGGAGCATTTCAAGTTAAAAACTATTAATGAGAACATTCCACGTTAGTCATAAGTAAATGCAGGGAAGACTTTTTAGAGATTAACTGTGCAGCCACTTCAATAATCCCATTGCTACGCTGACACTGTTGTCAAAGTCATGCCACTCAGCAATGATGTTCACTCAAGCCTCAACCCATTGCCATCAAGTCAGAACCAACTCAGCTGACACTTCAGCAGGTTTTTGGAGGCTCTAAATCACACAGGAGGAGACTGTCCATCTTTCTGATGGAATTAAAATGCCTGAAAGGTGCCTATGTCTTTAAGGTAGCAGCCCCAACTCCCTACTTATTTTGAGTTTCCTAGCTAGCAATGATTTAGAGCCCTCAGATACTAAATTATGAATAAGTGTCCTCTAACGGGCTTGTACAGGTGAAAGTAACAGAGTCCTGAAAACCTATCTGGGGATGACAGTGGTCATGATGGTACATCTTGTGGTTTGATTAGGAGAATGAAGTGGCTCTCAAACTTAACCATAATTCAGCATAACCTGTTAAAGCAAAGATTGCATGGGGTCCCCTTTCAGAGTATCTGCTTCACTGGATCTGAGGAAAAGCCTGAGAATATGTAATCCTAAGAAGGTCTCAGAAGATAATGATTAAAGTTATATAAGTATTCTATGAGTTGTCTACAACTCAATGGCACTTAATAACATAACAACAACATAGAGAGAGCTCTGTTGGCCCAGTGAATAAATAGAAAGTTATGCTACCCAGCCAAAGGAGGGTGATTTTAATCTGTGGCCCTCAGACCTGGTTTTAATTGTTTTTGGTCAAATATACTTCTAAGTGGTAGAGCACTGGTCTGTCCAATCACTGTACAGAGGCAACTTGTGGTTGTTGTGATGCTGAACACTGTGACTCTGATGTGTCAAATGTAATAATGGTTACCCATGGTGGACAGTGTTTGGTGGAGCTCCCTGATTAAAACAAGCTTGGAAGTAGGAGTGTCATCCACTTCTGAAATGGCTTGCCTCCAGAAACTCTCTGAACTTGGAGAAACAATGAAAATTATACAAGTGTTCATTCAGGTCTTTAGTTCATAGTGTTGCTATGAGTTGTCTATGACTCAATGGCACTAACAATAATAAGTCTATTGACCACATTTTGCAAATCAACATAGTAATAACAAATGACATTTTAAAAAGGGGAGAAAAAAAAAAGAGGGGAAGACATATGGGCTTAGTATATGTAAGTTTATAAACAGGCTTAGTGTAGTCTATGTTTAACTCTAACTGTTGGTAATTTAAAGATGAATTAAATAATATTATTTATGAAATAACTCTAAACTCACTTAGCATCCATTTTGGTCACCTTCTTTGTAAAAAACTCATCTACACCTTCATCAACTCTCCCGAGCAGACCATTCTGTTCACCATCTTGGGAGACTACGTTGGCAGCGCAGACCTGAAAAAGCAAAGCGATCCAATGTTAATTTTCATTCATCAAAACTCAGCAAACATTTGTTGCCAGTTCAAAGCAGTGTGACAAGGGACACAGGAGGCAGAAGACTGACAAAACTACTAATCAGTTGCTGCAACACTGATTTTGAGTCATGGCACTCCCATGTATGTCAGAGCAGAACTACAGTCCATCAGGTTTTCCATAGCTAATTTTTCAGAAATTCCAACCTGATAGCCCTTGTTCCAAAGCATCTCTAGATGTACTTCAACTATCAACCTTCCAGATGAGCAATATGTTAAACTTTTACACAAGCCAGGGAATCCTTTACTAAAATAAGGACCTATGGGCAATCTCTTCCTAGCTAATTGTCTCTGAAAACTCACCGGAGGGTCAGCTATGGGTCAGTTCTGATTTGATGGTAAACAACAACAATATACTAGTAGGGAGCTCTAATGGTCTAGTTGTAAGAAGCCACACTGCAATCCCAAAGGCACAGAGTACACAGATCAAAAATCCACCAGCTGCTCCATGGAAGAAATGTGGGCAATCTCTTCTATGTGAGTTACTGTCTCTGAAAACCCACTGGAGGGTCAACTATGGGTCGGTGCTGACTCAAATGGTACTTAATAGTAACAATCAGCTAGAGGAGGACTCTGATGGCCTAGTGGTAATTAATTGTGCTGCCAATTCAAAGGCACAATGTTCAAATCTACCAGCTGCTTCATGGGTGGGGGATGACACAATCTTTTCCAGTACAATTAATTGCCCCTGAGGGTTAGTGATAAGTCATTCTGAAGATAGTACACAACAACAATGACAACAACAAATATATTTAGAGAAGGAGCCCTGTTGGCATAGTACATAACATACAGGGCTTCTAGCCAAAAGTTGAGCAGTTCAAATACATTTGCTCCTATGTCAGAGTACTCAGGGCAGTCTCCTCCTATAAAGATTTACAGCTTCAGAAATTCAAAAGAGGGTCATTATGAGCTGGAACCAACTCAAAAAGGCAGTGAGAATTTACTATAGGAGACTTGGTAATCCAATGGTTAAGGCATTCAGCTGCTAACTAAAAAAAAAAAAAGTCAGGGGTTCAAACCCATAGGAGCTAGATGTGGGGCCTTGACAGACCTACAGGCAACTCTACTCTGGTTTACAGTAGTGTTGGTGAGTTAAACGGACTCATCCCATTGGGTTTTTTTTTCTTTCCTTATTTTTAAAATCTACTAGATTTTATCTATAAGGTTTTTAAAAAGAAAAATCTAATAGATACCATATAGGGAGCTCTGGAGGCCAAGTGGTAAGGAGCTATGCTGTCACCCCAAAGGCATGTGGTTTGAATTTACCAGCTGCTCCGTGAAGGAAAGAAAGGCAATCTCGTCCTCTGTAATTTACAAGCTCCAAAAACCTGCTGGGGGGTGGGTCAGCTGGAGTCAGTTACAAATCAACGGCATATAATAACAGACTTTATCTATGCAATTTTAATACAAGGCAGGAAGAAATGAGAGTGAAGAATACACTGTGCACAAATGACTGAAGGACAAAGAAAAGTGACCCAAAAGAATGGAAATTATAAGACAATATCATTAATATAACATGCAAACAAAATATTCTGAAGATCATCTAAAAATAGCTGGAACAGTACATTGACAGAACTGCAAGAAGTTTAGGTTGGATTTAGAAGAGGCTGTGTCGTTGTTGTGTATCACTGAGCTGGAACAGACACATAGCTGACCCTCCAGAGAGTTTTCAGAGGCAGTAAACTGCATGAGAGGAGAGTGTCCATCTTTCTCCCATAGAGCAGCTGGTGGATTCGAACTACACATTTTTGCAGCAGTGTAATTCCTTAACACTAAACCAGGAGAGCTCCCTAGAAGAGGCTGTGGCACCCGGGATATCATTACTGATGTCAAAGGGATCTTCGCTGAAAGCAGAGAATACCAGAAGAATGTCTATTCATGTTTTATTGACTACATAAAGGCATTTGACTGTGTGGATCATAACAAACTATGGTTAACACTAAGAATGGAAAGTTCTGAACATTTAATTATCCTTCTATGAAATCTATACCTAGACAAAGAATTTGTTGTTTGAACAGAGCAAAGGAAGACTGCATAGTTTAAAATCAGGAAAGGTGTGTGTCCGAACTGTATCTTTTCTCCATACCTATTCAATGTGTATAGTAGTTTTGAACTCCGTATCTATTCAATCTGTTGAGCAATTCATTAGAGAAGGTGGACTTTATGAAGATTTGGCATCAGATGACACAACCTCGTTTGTTGAAAGCAGGGAGAACCTGAAGAGCTTGTTGCAAAGGATCAAAGATTGCAACATTCAATATGGATCAAGATAAAAAAATTCTCACACTGGGCCAACAGGCAACAACATGACAGATGGGGTGGGGTGGAAATTGAAATTGTCAATGATTTCCTATTGCTTGGATCCACAATCCATATCCTTGGTACCAGCAGTCATGAGACCAGGAGACCTATAGCATTGCGAAAGTCTGCTGTTGGGGATCTTTTCAAAAGTCTTGAAAAGCTATGATGTCAGTTTAAACACTAAAAAGAACACCTGATTGAAGACAGGGTCTTTTCTATTACCTTTTATGCATCTGAGAGCTGGACAATGAATAAAGATGACAGAAGAATCAATACATTTGAAATGTGGTGTTAGAGAAGAGTGCTGAATATTCTTTGAACTGTTAAAAGAACAAAAATAAATTTCTAGGAGAAAGTGCCACCAGATGCTCCTTGGAGGCAAGGATGGGGAATCTTTGTCTTATATACTTATGGTATGTTGTTAGGACAAGCACTTAACACCAGTATGGGATCAGTAGAAGCTCTGACTTAAGGGGCTGTGAAAAAGTCAAGTGCTTCTAAAGGCAGAGGAAGGTACTGCAGCCATGTGGCAGAGGAAGAAATACATAGAAATGTGAAACTCAACACAATCTAAGAAAGGAGGTAATTCCATTAGTGTGGGGTTGGGTTGGAAGTATTTGGGTGGGTTTAATTGCTGTGGCTGACCCCAAAAGATACAAATAGTGGTCACTCAACACCTCTACCTAATCTGTCTTTGCTCTATTTCCTTCTTCCTGGCTAAGCCCTAATTTCAGGACATGGATACTGATTTGCATAAATCAGAGTCCAGGGGTGTTAAAAATGGTTAACATGCTAGGCAGCTACCCAAGGTTAGAGCTTTTAGTCCATCAAGAAGTATCTCAGAAAAAAATACCTTGCAGTCTACTTCTGAAATTCTAACTTTTCAACTCTGACACATGTGAGTTTTCCATGAGTCAGAATTGATTTCACATTGATGCGATGACAACATACACTAGTATACATCAAACACCATAATCCCATCCCCTTTTCCGTGACTGACAGGCACAGGTGTGTGAGTCAATCCTGCTGAAGGACATGAAAGGGGAAATGTGATGGGTTGCTGCAGGGCAGCTTTTTCTGAAAAGGATAAAATGTATTCCCCCCTCCCCCCCGCCCGCCGCCTGTCTATGTGGGGGAGGATGTGACAGCTGGGCTGTGGCAGTCACTGGGAGCTTAGGAGGTTGTTGTTGTTAAGTGCCCTTGAGCTGACTATAACTCACAGTGACTCTATGAACAATGGCTCTGAACCTATCCTAAGTGAGGCTCACTGTCTCTGACACATCTGAACCCATTGCCATAGTCACTGTGTCAATCCATTTCATTCAGAGTCTTCTTCTCCAGTGCTTATCTTTTACCCTTCCAAGCACCATGTCCTTCTTCAAGGACTGAGCCCTCCTGACAACATGTCTAAAGTATGTGAGACGGAGTTTCAAAATCCTGTCTTCTAAGGAACAACCTTATTTCATGGCTCTAGGACAGGCCTGTTTGTTCTCTTCACAATCCAAGGTATATTCACTTCTTTCCTCCAGCACCACAGCTCAAATGCATCAACTCTTCTTCCGTCATCCTTAGTCAATGTCCACATCTCATATACATAGAATGCAACTGAGAAGACCATGGCTTGAATCAGCACATCTTAGTCTGTAGACTGACACTGTTGCTCTTTAGCACTCTGTAGAGGTCTTTGACAGAAGATTTTCCCAATGCAACTCATCTGTTGATTTCCTGACTGCTGGTGCCATGGGTGTTGATTGTGGATCCAAGCAAGATTAAAACATTAAAACCTTCAATCTTGGGGAGCTCTGGTAGCCTAGTGGCAAGAAGCTGCACTGCAACCCAGAGATATGTGGTTCGAATCCACCAGATGCTCTGCTGGAGAAGGAGGGGCCATCTCTTCCTGTACCAGTCAAATCCAATTTGACGGTACACACACAGAAAATAATAAAATAAAAAAATTTAAAAAACCAACCAAAAACAAAAACCTTCAATCTTTTCTCCATCTATCAGGATGCTGCTTGCTGGCCTGGTGGTAAGAAATTTTGTTTGCCTGATGTTGAGATGCAATTCATACTGAAGGCTGAAGTCCTTGATCTTTTGCAGCAAACACTTCAAATCCTCCTCAATTGTTTCAACAACAAGATTGTGTTATCTGCATAACACCGATTATGAGTCTTCCTCCAATCCTTACGCCACATTCATCTTTATAAATTCCAGCCTCTCGAATGATCTGTTCAGCATATAAATTGAAAAGGTATGAAGAAAGGACATATCCCTAATGCACTCCTTTCTTCTTGAATCCTCTAGTATTTCCTTGCTCTTTTCAGACAATATCTTCTTGCTCTAGGTATAGGCTTCATATGAGCACAATCAAGTGTTCTAGGATTCCCATGGTAGTCACAATTTGTTGTGATCTACATAGTCAAATGCCTTTGCATAGTTGAGAAAACACAAACATCCTCCTGGTACACTCTGTTTTCAACCAAGATCCATCTGAAACCAGCAGTGACATCCTTAGTGCCATGGCCTCTTCGAATCTTATATAGCATTTCTGGCAGTTCTTTGAGTAGTGAAGCCTAAAGATAAAAGCCAACAAGCTCAAGATAACAGAGCAGAAAGGTGGAA